CAATTTAGAGAGACTGAAAGGATAAAACAAATAATTGTGATTTTCAGGCGCTGTCAGTTACATCAGACCACAAGGAGGTGCAAGATCTCTACAAAAGCCCAAGCATTACTGTTATACAACCGATCATTATTATTTGCAGTATCCATAAGTGAAGTATGACTGAAAATTGTCTTTAAAACCTAGAAATAAGCTAAATTTTAAAATAATATAAAGTGTGCAATAATGGTGTAAAATGAAAGACTTTTTCTTGGTCCCTAATCAAACGTAAGCATGTATTGTATGTTATTTTAACCATTTGACCTTATTTGTACAGAACAAATTGTGTTCTTGATTTCATGTATGTACATTTTTAACCAACATTAATTGATATGCTGATAAATTTCATTTGTAGTAAAACCCAATGTATTAAACTAGAAAAATGCAAAATAGAAGCATTTTCACTAGTGGTCTCAGACTTTGGGCCCCTATTGTATGCATCTGAGGTGTGGAGTTCCAGGCATAAGAACAGAGCGATTAGCTGAGAACGGGGTATGGCGAGAGGTGCAGACATGGCATTTTAACAGTTTTGCTGGTCAGAACCAGAGTGTGAACAGTGGCTCTGATGTTCATTTAAATAACCTCCGGCCTCCAAAGTATGCAAGCCTGGGTTTCGCCTGATCTTGGCGGCTGACATCGATGTGTGAAGACAGGGATTGAGGCAGGAGACGGGTGCTTTATGGCACCACGTGATTTCCGTGCGCTCGAAAGACTTTTTTCTTTGCGAAACGAACATTTTCTCCACAAACTCAGATCGCGCGTGTGCAAAATGCACTTTTGTGCGCTCAAAATATGATCTTTCGCGCGCAGAATTGTGGCAGAAATGTAAGCCCATACTTCTGTTTGCTGGCAGTGTTAGACAGGTTTTCAGTCACATCTGCAAGATTTGCAACATGCTGACATAAACGTTCTGGTGTATGTGTGTGAACATAAGTTACGGTATTAAAGCCGACGGTCAGCACCCTTGAGCAAGTCATTGTGTTTTTTTCTTGCTTTGAGTCTTTGTAAGCTCAAATAAAGATTGCAAAAACTGATTTCGTTTAGTTTTTATCATGCACAACTTGACCAGTGGCCCCAAAAGTATTTGGACCAACACAATCTCATTGTCGCATTGTCGAATTGGTCACTAAGTCATTTGATTTTGCTCTGTCTCATTCGTATGTTTTTGTACGATCTGCTTACGCCCCACCAACAGTTAAGTTTAAGGGTGGACCTTGTTTTCTTACAAACCACCTTGTACGAATTCAAATGCAATTGTCACCTCAGAAAATACTTACTGTATGTTTTCTCATTAGACTGGGTTGATTTGGACCCTTAAGTCATAAAGTGTATGAATGACATATCAATCAAGATGATCAAAGAACAAATTAAGCTACCTTTTCTCAGAGTTCATACAGGTGTCCTAGAATTACCACAGGTGCACTTCATGTATGAACACTAATAAGTTCCACTAAGGTTTGACAACCAGAAAGTCACCTTTTCACCAAACAATGGAAGCCAGGAAATAAAGCTTGCATATCTGGTTGTTACCCCCTTATTCCCCAAACGTAACACATTGTTCCCTTATACCTACACGTATGTTCTTTATAAGTACACTATAATTACAGAAACGTACACCGTAAATTCAGTATAGTTACATAGTTCTTTGCGGGTTGTAATCTAAAGCGTTACCCTATATTGTGTTATGCCAAGCCCCATTGCGTTTATTGAGTACATACAAATTGCTTGTCACTGGCCATTTCGGCCACGTCCTGCAGGAGTATTAGAAATGTTAAATTAACACCTCACAAACGTTTCTGTGAAATATTTTAATAGAAAAATGCTTGTGCTTTTTTGAAGTCTGGATTTGATTCAAACCAGTTGCTTCTCAAAATGATTCTCTGTTGCGAAGCTTTCAAAATTCCCCACTCTAGGGAACATCTTAAAGCCTTGTAAATGCAACAAGCAAAAAACCTGTGTGTTTAATAACATGTTCTACAACTTTTTATCAACTTTAATTATAAAAGTGACTCAGGATCAGTTACAAACACACATTTTATACAGGTTCATTCATGGGTTTACTGATCTCAGCTGAAGGAAGCCTTGTTTGCTGAATTCACATGACTTGGTCAGCTCAAAGCGCCGATTTGAAACATTCATAAAGTTTAGGAGCTTCTTAACTACTGTTTTGAGCTAGTTCATATCACTATTTGAGCTTATTTTCTCAACAATTGGTTTGATATTTTGTTTGCAATGACAAGTATATATTTTGGGGTAATTGCATATTCTTTGACTGCTCATAAAGAGGGAAAAAGGGGTAAGAAAGGGCGATGAAGAAAGAAAGAGAGAAAAAACAGAAGGGAATTTTGAATTTGGGTCTGTATATGTGTGTCTTAGAGAAAAGGAGCCTCTTATTCTCGCTCAGCTGGAGCTTGGCCTAAACTTCGGCCTAGTCTCGTCTGCACAGCAGGAGACTTTCCTGAGCTGACTGCCCAAGGGAGGGGCACCTGCCCCTGCCACAAACACTGCAGCACAGGCAGGGGAAGAGGAGGGGAGTGTGAGGATGGAAAGACACTCAGGATTCCAGGAACATGTGTTGGATTTATGAAGCACACAGGTAACACAAAACGATGCAGTGAAAAAAAGAAAACTATTTCCCCCCATACGTACCTCTGAAGTCTGAAGTCTTCAACAGCTTTCTGCTGCCTCCTTCAAAATGAAAGGTTTCTCTCCGACACAGTCGCAGTGGTTATTGTTGGAAACCTCAACTACCAGCTCTTGGTGACTACCAATATAAACGGACAGCTTATGGATTTGCTGCCCTCCCTCATGGCAATATTTTCCACTGTTTGGGTTTGCTGGATACTAGCATATGTTTGAAGTTTATCACATGCTCAGTCATTCAGACCCTCTTGACAGAGAGCAACGGAGAGAGGGTCCGAGTTCAGGACCCCAGACTGACTCTCCCAGCTGAACTTGAAAATTGTCATTAAACTATGAGGCTTAGAACATTCCCCAAAAGACTTCTTCATGTTAAATACTATTAAATAAATCTATCAGCAGTGCTGCCTATATTATAGAACAACGATGGAGCCTAAGGAGCCTAAATTTAAAGGACTAATTCTTCTTGTAAATTAACATTTTTGATCATTTACTCACCTTTACTTGAGTCATTCTGACCCTATATTATTTCCTTTCTTTTGTGAAACGCAAAATGTTATGTTTGGCAAAATGTTCATGTTGCAGGATGAGTGGGACAAACTGAAGCTTTTGTGGCAACCATATTGTCACGCAAGAGGACATAATTTATGACTTTCAATGGTCACACTATGAGGTATGCACATATTACTCCTTCAACATGCTCTGATGTTCCTCAGGTAAATGGAAACACATGCCCAAGGAAAATGAAAAGAGTAGGGAGGTGCACACATCAGGTCCTCATGGAGTCCCATGTTAGATGGCGTTCTTCCAAACTATATTATACATACTGGGTGGATGTATTAGACTCAATGAGGACGGCATCAGTGTTGTATTATATATAGTGCAGTGATCATGAGCCCAAACATAAAAATTCTAAAAGTTCAATGGCAGATTAGGTGTTTGATTATTAATAGTTTATGTATCCAGATTATGTACCTCAAGGTGTATCACATACAGTATTTATTTGTGTATTATTGATTTTATATTCTTTATCATGTCTCATCTAAAAAAAAAAAAACACTTTCCATAACTGCCAAGTCCCAAAATAGATCCCCAAGGAGCTAAGGACACCCCCATGACACACACACACACACACACACACACAGAGACATTTACAGTCTTTTCTGCTCTCTGTGAAACAATATTTGTTCATGTGCGTCACAGAGCAGCAGGCAACCACAAACCAATACAGTGCTGCCATTCAACAATACACATTAATTGTACATGCTGCAAATACAAGGTTCCTTCTGGGTAGTCTGTACTTGTCCATGATGATGTCAATAAGTCACAAACAGCATTACAAAAATACTAACCTATGAAGGTCAAAGCACACACATTTTGTGGGTCAGTTTCAGAAAGTGCAAAAAGCTGATACAGACTCAATGAGGCTCATATTAACCAATGAAAGCACAGTCACATCCAAGCACTGCAGTGCAATACAAACACACCCCATGCAAAACCCACAAAAAACTGAAAGCTAGCAAAAGCATAGTTCGGGCCAATGCAGACACATAAATAAATGCTTCCTGAATGAAAACCATTTTTCATTTTAATTCATTTGCAGTCTCAATCTCCCCCTCTCTCTTGTTCTTTTCTGTGTTTTTCTCTTCATTTCTTATTAATTTCTCTCACATTCTCTATCTCTGTGCCCTTTCATTCCCTCTTTCTTCACTGAAAAACTCGCTCATCTGCTATTGTAATAAGGACAGTACTGCTTTACAGTGTTACGTTTCTGCAGTATCATTTAGGCAGTGGGGCTCTTCAGGTCAGGAAGTCTTCTAAAGCTTCCCAGAGAACTCACTTAGATCATAAACCATTCTGCTGGTGTTCTTACATAGAATATTTCTTTATTGTATGTTATGATAAGCACCAGATTTCATATATAGATTCTTTCAGGCAAGCTTTCTTGTGCAAAGCAATGCATTATTTAACAGTAAAACATAAATATAATACAGATAGGCTGAAAAAAGAAAAAACTTAAAAAAAATATATATTTTGAAGGGTCCAGGTTTGGTGCAGTCTTTTGAATACAGTATGATTTAACATTTGAATTAAAAAAATTGTTTTATAGATACAGAAATATTTCTCTAGCTGACATTGTCCATTAACATGCATAACCTGGGGAAAGGAAGTAGTTTTAAAAATGGAACAAATTTGTGTAGATGTGCTAAATAGTAATTCAAATTTTTGTTTAAAATCGCATACAGTAATTCAATTAATTTATAACAAAAAAAAAAAATCAGGTAGAATTAAAAAAAGACAAATTATTCATATAAGGTGCCAATAAATGCACAAAGTCAGGACATTAACAGACCTGTTGGCTAAAAAATGTTTTAGTTGAGTATAATGAAGTACCTCATGGTCATGGAGAACATAATGTCCTATTGGAGAATGAGAAATTGTGTGTCTTGGCTTCATGACAGAAGTGATGTATCCTCCTCAAAAGAGCAAACTCTGATACGTCCTTTAGCTTTGAGCCAAATCTATACTATGTAATTTCTCCTTTGCACTTAGACTAATAAACCAATTTGGTAGTTAAATGCTTCACACCTGTTGTTAGACTATCCTGGGGTGATTCATCTTGACAAAGCTTGTTTGTCCATTTCAAGTTGCCCCATAAAACAGATGTTTCACACATTTTAGTCTACTAATATTCAGCAGCAGTTTGACCAACATTTTTTTGGTTTCCATTTCAAAGGTGATGAACCCTAAATATTACAGAAGCACTTTCATAAGTATTCATCACTTAGTATTTCATTTTGGATTGCAGGGACCTTAATACACAATGCTGCTCAGATAATCTATAATTATATATGTAGTCCATGGAGCAGAGAACACACACCATCATTGCCTTGGATTACAGAGTATTACTATTTGCACAGCACATGTATAAATCTATAATTAAGCCCTTTAGCACCAAATTAGTAATCTGTTTAATAAAGATAACTATGCACAGTCTTATAGGTCATGGGCTGTACTAACTGGTGGGCAGCTGTTATTGTTGTTCAGAGCTGCCCTTGTGGCAAAGCGGTGCAGCTGCACTTATCGTCTTCCTGCTGGTCCGCCTGCGTCTTCCTGTCAGCAGTGTGTAGAAGAACGGATTCACACATGAGTTTCCATAAGTCAACCCTGTGAGGATGCGATTAATGGTCACCTGCGTGCGTACCGGCACCACGCGCAGACCCTCAGGTCGGTAAAGTGGTAGAAGCTGCCAGATCCAGAATGGAAGGAAACAAGCCCAGAATGTTAGCACAATCCCCAGGATGAGGAGCAGGACTTTGGGGCGAGGTGCACGGGGTGGATAGGTGTTGCCCCCTCCGGCCCAAGCAGGTTGCGTCTGAGATACCCAGTAGAGTCTCCCTAAAGCTGCATACAAAGCTCCGATGGCCAGTCCTGGGCCTAGGATGCTGGTGCAGAAGAGCACACTGAGGTAAGCTTTTGAACTCTGTTCATCCCAGGCGGGAACGCACAACTTGCCTTCCTGGTTCTCTCCATCTTCTAGGTGCAAAGAGATCATCATGGGCAAACTGAGAGCCACGGCAAAACCCCAGGCCAAAGCGACTCTCAGGAGTCCAGAGGAAGGTGTGGACGAGGCTGCCAATGGATCAGCCACAGCTCGATACCGATCCAGACTCATCGCCGGGGGGCGCACGGACACTTACGGGAAAGAATGTAGGTGGCACATGGTGACCCTGAGAGAGACGGGTTACGGAGCTGCTGTTGAAGTGACGCACTGGCACAGTAGGCTACCCCGCCGCGTCCAGCAGCACCCCTGTACTTTAAATAACACCTTTCTTAGGCTACTACTGACACAGCGACTGACAGATTTGCTAGAGTTAGCCTAATTTATTTATTAATTCAATACAAATAAGTTTTAGATAGGCAAGGCTAATCATGAGATACGCAATAAGGCAATTTAATAAACAAAACAATTAACTATGTATTGTTAATAAAACTCTTTTTGGCTAGGAACTGAGAGTTAACAGTGCCAAACGAGTCCCAGCATAGTCATTTTAGTTTATGTAATTTATTGTTTTCATAATATAAAAATGTCAAACACGGCATGTCTGCACCGAATTATGCAGTCTATAGGGGAGATCGGGGAATATTGCAGCACGTAGTGTGTTGTAACACCATCAGTTAGTAAAAATGAGCTGCAGGGGTGAAAACACTATCATTCATGAGGTGACAGCAGAAGGGTGTATTGCGTGTAAAACATTTAAACGATTTACAGAGAGGGAAACTATTTTGAGATAAGAAAGTGTAATTTCATGTTAATAAATGTTAAATGACAAAACAGAGACACATATAGCATCATCTCTATCATTAAGACATCTTGTTTAATTTTATATATCCTATCCATACAAGCTCTTCACATGTTAAAAAAAATAGAAATATCACGGCTGACCAGATGGGGAGGATTGTAACACTTTCCATACTTCTATACTGTACAAAATAGGACAGATTGTAGGCCGCTTGACACAAACGCACACTGTGTGTTATGTTAGCATGTTTTATGTATAAGCTATTTGTTTCCATGTTTTATGTACGCACAGTTCTTTATTTAATTTGTTTATTTGCTGTTTTGAATTAAGTGAAAGCAGAGTGGGGGTGCGATAATAAGTACTTTGAACAAGTAAATTGATAAGCAGAATAAATTCAAGAGCTACAACATGTAAAACGTCAGTGTTTTCTATTACAACCCAGTTGGAAAGATTAAGAATAGCGCTCTTTGTAGCCTACTTGACATTATTTTATATGGATTCGTTGTAGATTTCTAAATTAATATGTAGCAGACAAATATGGTGATGTCAATGTTATTTTATTATATAAATGTATATAAATTCGCATCACCAGATGTTAAAGCAAAATGTGTCACAACACTTCCCGGTCTTCCTTTGTATTTATTAATTTACGCATATTTAATAGAAAGCTTGATGGTTGTCGCATGTGAGAACGACATAGACAAGACAGCTGAGGTTGTAATTGTTATTCTGAAACAACTTTAATACAACAGTATACGATTAAACATGATCTATTTCTTTTTTCATTATTATTATTATTATTTTACGAAATGTATTTGACTAATATGCTAATACAGTACATTAAATGTTATTTTTATAATGCGAAAACCGTCTTACCCTTAACCGAGTATTCAGAGATGGCATGTTCCATATGTCGACCTATATCCACACTTAAAACCGCGAGACAGTGACAAAATCCCACTCTAGAATATTCTAATTAAATTGTGTCTTTACAAGGTATAAATCAAGAAGCCCAGCGAGATGTTAATGTTCCTCTGAGGACAGACTTAAAGAAACTTTAGGATGGTGTAGAATATCTCTCAGTCACAGCCAGCCCACTCCTCTCCTCTGTCCTCTCACTCTTATGTTGTCTGAAGCAAATGAAGGGAGGGATGAGGAGAAGCTGTGCTGAAAAACTGGAGAAAGAAGGGTGTCTTTAATCAAGACCCACACTATTATGAATGGCCTTGGCTGGAGACAATTGATCTTCATTGACAGAGGACTGAATGTGATTTGATGTTTAGTCTCTAACCCTGACTGATATTTGTGGTGTTATTAACTTCTCTCTAGTGATTAGATACATTCAGCCCATTTTTAACTAACACTTTTATGAGCGAAAAGTCAATGCTTTGCGGCAGTATTTACAAGTGCCAAAAGCAATACAGTGCAGTATACCATAGGAAAAACACTTGTAAAAGTCAGAGAACAATATTTATGTCCACCATCCATCAAAGTTATTTGGGTTTGGGAGCATGCAGGGAACATTTCAGGTAATATATTTATTAGAGAACTGTAAGAATTACAACAACAAACATGAAAAGGTATACATAAAATGATTTCAGGTATGCAGATACTCAGAGGACAAAAGAACATATCATTAAACCCGTTATTTGAGGCTGAACTGAATCATGCGTGAAAAATGCTGAACGAAATTTTGTTACGCGTCACAATCCAAACCACAGCTGAGGCAGTGAAAACCATTTAATCACTTGAAATATGGTATCGCTCCCTAACGACCATACAGGAATACATAACCATTAATGGACAGAAAACTTTTCAGTGGAAAGACATTTTCACCTCCTTAGTCATGCAAAAGTTAAAGTGATGCATGGTGTGGACATCCTGCCTGCATTTCTGATCAGACTAAAATATGCTGTCGTTTAGAATCACATGAATGGATACTTAAAGGGATAGTCCACCAAAAATGATCACACCATCATGTCATTCCAAACCTGTGTGACTTGCTTTCTTCAATGGAACACAGAAAGAGATGTTTTGAAAAATGTTTGTTTTTTGTCCATACAATGAAAGTCAATGGGCTCCAATGTTTTTTTGGACCCCACTGACTTTCACTACACTGTCAGTAAAAAAGAAAAAGAAAAAAAATCCAAAAGCTGTCACTGGGGTGGTACCTTTTCAAAAGGTACACTTTTGTACCTTTTATGTAATATGTATATTTTGGTACTACAGTTTTTCTACAGTACTACAGAACGATTTTTTTCTCTCTCAAAACAGTAAGTTCAGATGTCTCGACAATTTGTTTCTTCTTCACATCAGATTTGAATATCTTATTGATTTAATTTTGTTTTGGCACATTTGTGCAAAAGAGTAAGTGCAATTAAGTCTACAATTTGCACAATAACTAAATGCACTTGGCTTGTTGATCAACTTGGCTTGAGTTGATTCTCAGTGAAACTGTTAAACTCTTCACAACTTCTAAACATTCCTTCATCTTGTGAGCCATCACATGCAAAATGACCCATTCGGTTATCAAAATCTGTCAGACATGAGTGTATATTCCATAAATATCATGGACATGGAATGTTTGTAATGTCTGCTAAGTATGGCTTGTCATTGGGGTTGCCGGAAACATTCCAGAATTTTTAAAAACGTTCAGAAAATTTTTGTACATTTTCAGAAATTTTCTGGGGATTTACTGGAAATTTTCCGCCCCGTGCCATTGTAATGAAATAGGAATCACAATCTTGCAATCAAGTTTGGAAGCATATAGAGTTTGCCCAGCACAATCACTACCATTTTTGAACAAGGAGGAACGCCACAACCCTAAATAGCAGCAGCTACAGCAGCACTGTATAAATACATTTATATTTGTACAGTACATTTATCTGTAGAAACGTGTTACATGTAAACTGAAACTTCACAGTTGCTTGTCATGAAAGAGCAATAGGAAGAGCAATTGTAAGAATGTGTGGTGGTGGTGTTAGCGGAAGACAATAGAGTGTGTAAAAAAGTAATGGTGAATTTTCAGTTGGCATGTAACACATTTTTACAAAAATAAATGTACTGTATATATAAAAATGTTCATTGTCTTTATGTGTACTACAGTATTGACTTTTCCCAATACATTTTTACCTACTGTTGAAATATGTATCTGAAATGCTCGATGTGATACAAAGACAAACCTGACATTCTTTAATAGTATAGAAAACAGTCTGTCAACAAAAAGTAGAATTTGTTTTTGCATATAATATGAAATGAAATTGCACATAACTAAATTAAATTAGCATATAACATGAAATGAAATTTGCATATAACAAATATTTCTATAGTGAAAAAACACCTAAACCTTTTGACCAGAGTGGCTCACAAGATGACACTTTTTATTTTGGTGGCATTCGCCAAATCACTGACACAATAACCAGGTTTTGAAGCATGAATTAAATGTTTTGGGTGAGTTATTTTGCAGACAAACAACAGAGTTCTGATGTTCCAGCAAGCAGTTGTGACAACTGACCCTTCGCAAAGACCCGACACCCTTAGTTACTGTTGCTACATCCATGGCGCTCTCACGCCACACATCATGTTCTATTAATTATTATTGTTATTTAAATTTTTGTTACTTTTCATTTTTGTTATTTTGTAAGAAATTCAAACAATAAATACCGTTTTGCAGCTCTTTAATGTGTCGTGACAGATCGCCGTAGCGCCTCAGTTCAAGCATCACGTGAACCAATCATCTCTTCCTCTTTACTAGTTAAAGCACAAAATAAACATGAATGAACATCAGAAGGTATCTTGTTTCAACTGTGGAAAGACGTCAACACACACCATTTTTCAAAAGTTCACCAAAGTTAATCTACGATCCTGTTTGGTTTGTTTGTCGAACAAAATGGCAGATTCTGTGTCATGATTGGTCAGATTGCCTGTCAGTCAAACTCCCGCCAAAGGGTCAATCGCACTTACTGTTTAGAGAATGTTAAGAATGATTGAGGAAAACTGTAATCTGAACCTTGAAGGTACCAATATGGACCCTTTAGGTACAAAGGTGTACCTTTTGAAAAGGTACCGTTCCAGTAACAGCTTTTGTACCTTTTATCTGAGAATCTTTAGAATATCTTCTTTTGTATTCCACAGAAGACTGAAAATAATGCGGGTTCAGAATGACATGAGGGTGAATAAATGATGACAGAATATTCATTTTTGGGTAAACTTTGGATAAACTTTTGTTAAACCAAGAAGGGAAACAACAAATTGGGAAAGTGATACTTGAGCACCATACAGTTTTGATTATGGTGACTGGTTTTCCTTTGTTTTTATATAATTTTGGTGTAAACCACAAAAAAATAAGAGATTTTAACCAGTAAGGTCAGAA